GACTGAATATTGGGTGAAAGAAGTGTAAATAAGACATGTTCAGATTGTATAGAAAAGTACACATTTTATGATTATCAAGCAGGATCTCTCATGAATTCTCCAACTCTTCTGCCTGATGTCCCCCCAGCAAGTGCACACTTTTATGGACATAACAATGTTTATGACAAAAAAGAATATTTAGACCGACAGGCACACAGACAGACAGACAGACAGTCATGCAGGCAGGCCGGCCGGCAGGCAGGCAGGCAGACAGACAAATAGACCGATAGATACCTTGCCAATGATGTGATTGTGTTTCACTTTGATAGTAAACAATAGCTATGGGACAGATTTCAATTTTCAGACTGAATATTGGGTAAAAGAAATGGAAATATGACGTGTTCAGACAGTGAAAAGACTGACAGGATCTACCATGAATTCTCCAACTCTTCTACCTTTTTCAAAACTTCCATTTTTTATGCTTCCATTTTTTATGCGTTGACCCACTCTGTGTCTGTGATCAGAAACTGGACAGTGACCAGATCCAGAAGCTGATGCTGAAGACTCACGTGGACAACCCTCTGTGGATGATGCTCATGGCCGAAGAGCTACGCATCTTTGGAGATTTTAAGCTGATGGACGACAAGATTGACAGCTTTCCCGAGTCGATGGATCAGCTTCTGGTCCAGATTTTGGAGCGTCTGATTCAGGAGGATGACGAGAATGGGGTGATCAAGAAGGTTTGACTGTGTGTTCGAGTTTTGTCTTTTGCCTTGTGCCTCAATTTGGTGCCAGATTTTCTTGTTGTTGTAAAGAAAATGTGTTGAATTGAAATGGCAGTACATGTGATTTGAACCCCTGACCCTCAAAGAAAAACACACAAAAAAAGAACCCCCCCCCAAAAAACAACAACAAACCAGCAGATAAAAAAGGAAAACATGTGGAATTAGATGAGGATGATGATTTTAACAACCACAGGCAAGGTTGGAAACAGCCAGCCTCCTAAATGATCAAAATTGTGTCAATGGGGGTATGACACTCCAACGTTAAAAAAAAGAAATATCTCGCATGCATTAACACCAGTAGAAGTTTAGTGATATCTCTTGACAGGGAAGGATTTCTTTCCTTGAATCTCAGTTCTGTTATAAAAATCAGGAACATGTGAGCAGCAACATGACCCCCTGAGTCGCTTGTCGTACTTGGCTTTATCATGATATTGGGCAAAACCTTGATTTTCTAATATAATCTGTGTATTTGAGACTCAACTTCAAGTGACTAGAACTTTCAAACCAAAGCAAAGCAATTCAACTGAAACCAGTTTTCTCACCTTTTCTCCACCTCATTGCTTTTTTGTCGTATTTCTGTTGTTTTTTTTACAGTGAAAATGTGACTTTTTCTTAAGCTCACTCTTTGTTATGAACTGTTTTCACTGTTTAAAAAAATGGAGATAAGACAAGAAAACGCTGAGGTCGCGATTCATTAGAACTTGAACAGATTTTTTATTTTATACTCTTAGTATTATATAGTTGTCTATGGATAAGTTGATATAGTCGGAGGAGTGAAAAAAAAAAGATCAACTCATTTGGAAGTTCAACTTCACTGTTGGGACCTTTAAAGAAGAATTGGTGCTAGGACCCAAGAAAAAAAGGTTGACCTACCGGTAACTGAAAATTAACTCAGGCGAGTTCAATACAAGTGGCATCAACTGTAGTACTGGTATCAAAATGTGACATGTGACTTATTTTATCACATTGTTACACATTTGTGCAATTTAATTTAGGAAAAAACAACAACCTCCCTTGCCCCCC